GCCACACCGCAATCCCTTCTCCTCTATTCTCCTCTCGGGATCTTGGGCACGCACGCACACGCGCCCGGTGTGAGTTTTAAGCCACCGGGTCCAGGACGCGAACCGCGGTCGACTACATGAGAGTCCAGCGACATAGCCATTACGCTAACTGCTGGTTTCCTAATTTCATTTATTCATTCATTTGAGTTTTCAATTTGACCAGAGAGAGACACATTGGGCGGGGGGGGAAGAGAGTGAGAAAGCAAGCCACCAGGTCCAGGACTTGAACTGTAGTCAGCCATGTGGGAGTGTCCAGCACCTTAACCACCACGCCACCTGCTGGTTCCCCCAAAAAATGTTATTTAAAAAAATTTTTTTTTCAGAGATTTATTTGCTGTAGGGTATAAAGAATTATTTTTATTTAATTTCTTTTTTTGGGGGGGGTGGGAGAGATTTTTGCTACAGGGCACGTGCGCTCGCCAGACAGAGAGAGACAGAGAGACAGAAAGCAAGAAATCACCCCCTAGGGGGGATGGCCACACCGCAATCCCTTCTCCTCTATTCTCCTCTCGGGATCTTGGGCATGCACGCACACGCACCCGGCATGAGTTTAAGCCACCGGGTCCAGGACGCGAACCGCGGTCGACTACATGAGAGTCCAGCGACATAGCCATCACGCTAACTGCTGGTTTCCTAATTTCATTTATTCATTCATTTGAGTTTTCAATGTGACCAGAGAGAGACACATTGGGCGGGGGGGGAAGAGAGTGAGAAAGCAAGCCACCAGGTCCAGGACTTGAACCGTGGTTGGCCATGCGGGAGTGTCCAGCACCTTAACCACCACGCCACCTGCTGGTTCCCCCAAAACATGTTAATTAAAAAAATTTTTTTTCAGTGATTGATTGGCTGTAGGGTGCCTATGCTTGCCAGAGAGAGACAGAGAGACAGAAAGCAAGAAATCACCCCCTAGGGGGGATGGCCACACCGCAATCCCTTCTCCTCTATTCTCCTCTCGGGATCTTGGGCATGCACGCACACGCACCCGGCATGAGTTTAAGCCACCGGGTCCGGGACTCGAACCGTGGTCAACTATATAGAAGTCCACTGACATAGCTGTTACGCCAACTGCTGGTCCCTTTAAAGCATTTTTTAATTTATGTATACATTTATTTTAATTTGACCAGAGAAGGACAGAGAGAGAGAGAGAAAGCAAGGTGTCAGGGCCAAGACTCAAACTGTGGTCAGCCATGTGGGAGTCCAGTGCCTTAACCACCATGCCATCTTCTGGCCCCCAGGGCATGTTTAACTTGTTAAAGAGAAAGTGCAGAGAGAAAGGGAGAAGCACCTTCTACAGAGTCTGACAACACTGATGTCCCCTTCCTGCAGTCCTCCAGCCCAGCAGTCCCCAACCATCCCAGCACCAGGGACCAGCCTCGTGGAAGACAGTTCCCCCCACAGACCTGGAGGTGGTTGGTTCCAGGATAACTCACACAACCACATCCACTGTGCACCCCATTCCCACCGCGACCACATCCCAATATATGATGAAACAGTCACACAGTAGGGCTTGCGATCCTATGAGAACCCAGTACGGGGACCAACAGTAGCCATAATGGCTATGTCGCTTGACTCCCATGTATTCAACCGCGGTTCGAGTCCCGGACCCGGTGGCTTAAACTCACGCCAGGCACGTGTGCGTGCAGGCCCCAAGATCCCGAGAGGAGAATGGAGGAGAAGGGATTGCGGCGTGGCCATCCCCCCTGGGGGGTGATTTCTCGCTTTCTGTCTCTCTGTCTCTCTCTGTCTGGCGAGCGCACGCGCCCTATA